TGTAAATATGAACTTTTGTGTGAGTACACACGTATACATGTGTAAGAAGTGTATATATGTTCAAGAACTTACAAAACAGCTAAAGAGAAAAAACAAACACAGTGAGTAGCTAAATACATCTAAAGGAGTGATGGTTAGGAGAACACACATTTTATTGCTCCTCTAAAGTTAGATAAAACCTCCAGTCCTGCCACTGTCAACATCATCTTCCCCTCCTTTTTCTGAATCATGACTCACTTCGCCCTGGAGCTGTCAGTCACCTTTATGAGATAAAAGAGCAGGGCTGGGGAAAGGCTACATTCGGCCAGTGGAGGAGGGCCTCAACAAACGCCAGACAGGCGTCTAGGAAGTTATGAAAGGAATTCGACATGTGTTTCAGGGCTGGGACCACCCCTCAGTCGCTATTACAGTTCATGAAACACTTAGCATAACTACCTTTCACATGGTAAGTATGTCGAATTGAGTTTTTGGCAAAGAAAAAAAAAAAACAGGAAATAAAGTAATTTTTAGTTGATGAAGAGATTTTTCCCATCAACGACTGGGGTAAGACTCAACTTCACAAGAAGTTCAAACTGGGGTTTAGATTTAGGCCCCTTGAGACACACATACAGAAACGAAAGCTCCTTCGCACTGGCAGCCCTGAGGCTGGGAACAGACAGAATAACCAACATCAGAGTTTTACTAACCTGATATTTACAAAACTGAAGAATAAAGAGAAATTCTAAATTATTTCAGCTCTGATAGTTAATACACTGCAAAATAAAACAAATCTCCAAAATAGTTCTAACCTTATTCAACTGAACTCCAACCAGCCTCAGAACTATAATACATATGGTGACACTAGGAATCTACAAATATACAATAATATTTCCAATACTTAACAGAGATCCTGTCAAAGTGTGCTCATGTCCACACATAATACACGGACTTAGACTATGTTTCCTTCCGTCATTTATTCAACCACATGCTAATGAAATGACCTCATGCTATATGGCCCTTTGTTAAAAGGCTGAGATTTTACCAAGATACAAGCATGTGGGTCAGTCTAGTGCTCTGCCACCCTGCCCCCCTTCCTTAACGGATCTGGCCCAAGGAACAGCTGCCCACGATCAGCTCTGCTAAAGTTTTAGGCACAGACTAAAATAGAAGTCAAGAGCCAGCAAGTCACCAGAAAGTGAGTGCTGAATAAAATGCCAACCTCTTCTTAGAAGACATATATAAAGCCTCACCAAGACATTTTTCTCTTTGCTTATAAAGGCAATTTCTAGATCATTTCTCTACAGCTAAGTTTTAATAATCCCCTAGCATGCCACTAAGAGACTGAGATGAAGTATAACTGGGTCACCCTACGAAATCTCCAAGGCCCACAACCAGAGTGTAATCTCAGGATTAAAACCTGCTACAAGCCCCAGAGCTTCTTGCCTCTACAGAAAGTACCTCTGCATTCAAGATACAACCAAAACCTGACCCATATTGATTCTATCATTCAAAACATTTCAGGACAAATACATTAAACACTTCTGCCTACTCTACTACAAAATCTAGGCATTTCAATTTTGCGAAAATGAACTCCTACGACACCAACTCACGCAGCTTCTCCCTCTCTCCTCCCGCTCCAGTACCTGATAGACAAAACAGATGGTAGGTGCTTGGCAGCCATATAGGAACTTGACGTCGATGACATGCAGCTCCTCCAGGCGAATGTTAAAGGCCTTGAGCTCTTTATTGTCCCGGTCTAGTGGAATAACTTTGAAAAGGCCATCATAGAGCCGCAGGCCAATCATCCGGCACTCAGGGTCAATGATGCCAATAATGCCAGTCTCTGAGGGGCGGCCAATCCGGTCCTGAGAAGTAAAACTGGGGTTAGGAAAGAACCTCAACACCCAGAGTAACAGAGGACACCAGCATCTCTTTCCCAGGATGGTTTTAGGAGTAGTAGTAAAACTAGTGGCATCTACTGATGCCAGGGAGCCTAAATGTCAGTGTATTCCTTTTTGCAAAATACTGAACCTCCGTGAATTATTTACCCTGTCCCTTGGACTCTGAGTAAACTACAGAAGTCCCTTCCTCATAAAAGCTCAAACCCTTAGTGTTTTCCTTGTTTCTCTGGTCATTTGAAGAGAGCTGCCCCCAACACTTCAATTTTCTTCAACAAATCATGATGGCCCTAGAAAACCGTCATCAGCCTGGAGCAGACACCTCACCTGGACATTGCCATGGGCTCGCGTTATGATGTCAATGCTCTCGCCACTCTGCTTATACTCCAGGATGCACGCATTGTACTTAGCTGTCAGGATAAACAGTAGGTCCTTGCTCTCCCCCTGGAAACCAACATTATGCTATCAAAAGAGGATCTGTTCAAAACAGGAATACCTGGCCAGCCTTTAATCATCATTCTTTAAGCATGCTAAATTCTTTAAGAACTTTCTTTTCTCTCTGAAGAGAAAACCCATCGTGAGTACGTCACACGTAAGTGCACACACACACTAAGGGTGTGTACAAAAGGCCAGAACTAAAGCTGATAAACATCTAGTCCTCTCCTCACGTTCATGATTCTCCACCTCTCCGTTCTACATACATTTCTTCACTTATTTCCAAATCAAACTAACCTCAATCATTTCATTCAAATTCTGAAAGATGAATGTAAATGACTCCTCTACTCCTCTCCAAGTATTTGGAGAAAGAGGGAAAAAATGTAAATAACAGTGGACGCTAAAATGGATCAACAAAGTTTTACTTAGTATTAACACAGAACCCCAAAACGTAAGTATTTTGTTCAAAAGATTATAATTAAAATTTTGAGCCCATTGCTTTCTTGTCAGATTCAGTTAAGATATAATGAAGCAATGTGGTGGCTAACTGAATGAAAACATTTATATTATAATAATGATGATGGTAATGTGAGAGTAACTGTTAAAATAACAGTGAATGCTTACGTTAGGCCCTGTGTTCTTAAATCATTTGATCTTCGCAATGACTCAGGGGATTGGATATTGGTATCCCCATTTTGCAGATAGGGAAATAAGACTCTGAAAGGTTCGGTGACATCCAAAGTTTGATTTAATAAAGAATGACAGCAAGACTGCCCTATTCTAGAGCCGACACTCTGAATGAAGCACCATAGTGACCCACGGTATGGTGATCCACATTTCAAACTTTTTCCCTAGTCAATCTCTCCCACTCCTAGGAAGCTTGTTCAAGAAGAACATAAATTAAAGTCTGCCATTCAAAAAGAGTAGCTTCTCTCCTAAGCCTTATTCCACCCACGCCAAGCAACAATATAAAACAATGTAAAACCATTTTTGTCGCTGGGCCCAACCCAGAGCACTTACCTTGGGCCTGAAAAGCTCCATGACAGCAATCTTCCCATACATGCCCACCTCTTTAACGGGCCGAAGCCCCTCGGCAGTGACCACATAGATCTCTAATCTTGTGTTTTTGGCAATCAGCAGGTTCAAGTCTTCAGCTGAAGTAAAGTGTCCTGAAAGAACAGATTCTCTAACTTTTAAAGCCAGAGCGGTATCTAAATAATGCTATCACTTCTACCTAATACCTCCAGAATTCTCATTTAATTCATATTATTTCTCCAGCTCCCTCCATTCACACCCTTCTCACCAAATTCAGCACCTCACAGCCTCACTTCATAAATTCACGAAAGCTACTTCTCAAATCAGACTAAGAAAACTAGGCTGGGCCTAAGAGCAGCAAAAGTCCTTCCACGGACAATGACTGCGAAAACACTTCAGATGCCTCTGTACCCTCAAATTTTACTTTTCATATTGCACTGGCAGACTTATTCTCTCATCAAGGGATACTGGGAAAAGTGTGCATCTCTATTCAGTCCTTATCTAAATTTTCACAAACTCCTTACCAAAAACACCAGGTCAAATGAAGAAAACTCTCAAAGCTTTATGTGAAAACATTGTTTTGTCCACACCTCTTCTCAGCAGTCTGCCAGTACCCTCCTCCACACTCTTCCACACTTCCAACTCTTCAAACAACAGTTTTGTTTTGGAATCATAATTGGTATTTGCGCACACACACAAGTTTGAGGTCTTCATACTTTGCTGAAAACCTGGTTCAAGACGATTACTCCCAGATTCTGGACATCCGTGTCCTTAACAATTCTTGCCTAGTCAACAAGGCAAACCCAGCACTGGGTTGGGCCATCCAAACCCTCTTTTCCAGCAGCTCCCTCCAGTAAACAACAGCCCCAAGGCAAGGAGAACTCCCGCCTTGGGTGAGCGCGGACATGCCTCACATCCCTCCACCTCCTGCACCCCCCCGACCCCCCAGCTCTCCCACAAGAAAATTCTAACCCATAAGTCGCTATCACCACCGCCCCGTCCGCTGACCACACGAGGCCAGTCTCGGGGCCCCAACAACACCGCACAAACAACTCGCACTTCGCTCTCCGTCCCACTGGGCCCGTCCCTGTCCTCGAGGTCAAGTGACCTCCCGGGACGAAAGGGGACCCTCGAACGCAGCTTCCCTCTCCCTCCAAAAGGCGCGTGTGGAGACAGGTCCTCTGAAGTGGACTAGGGGTTCCTCGGCCGCCGGCAGCTTCCATTCCCCGCCGGCCGCCCCAGGAGCCGCGGGCCTCCCTAGGCCTCGGTTCCCCCCCAGCTCCCTCCCTCGCAGGGGTCTCCAGCCCTCAGCAGCCTCACCGGTCACACAGCCGTTCACGGCGGTGGGCTTCTGTGCCGTTACCACGTAGTTGTACGACATGTCGAGGCCTGAGCTGGCCCGTCGGGACTCGAGCGCAACGACAGAGAGATGGACACCAGCGAAGAGACAGGGTCCCCTACCCGCGCGGCGAACTCCACTGCCGCTGCCTCCGCCCCGCAGACACGTTGCAGCCCAGAGCGGCCAGGGCGCAGGGCATCACGGGACGGCCTCACCTGGCCTCTTGGAGGACTCAGGGCGCCCGAGGCGGCCAACCAAAAGAGGCCCCGCCCCGGAGGCCCCGCCCTTTCCCTTACCGCCAGAGTCCGGAGTACCCGGATGAGGGCCCCTGTTGTGGGTCTTTGAGAAGCGGTGCTGGCGGCAGAGGTGGCGGATGCGGGCGTGAGCGGGTGGGAGAATTGCGCCGACGCCCCCTCTGCCCTGGGAGCTGACCCGCCGACTTCGTCCCCAGTCCGCGCTCCTCGCCCTGTCCTAGGCCCCGTTATCTCCCATTTCCATCGCTTCAGAGCCTTTAGGGCTTTTCATTCTTTTGGAACCTGAGGAACTGCAAAGGCCTAGAGAAGGGAGGGAGGTGACAGCAATTTGCGCTCGGACCAGTCTAGAACCAAGTTCCGTACCTTCCTCCCTTTAGTCCTTCTAGTTCTTCCAAACCTAGCTAGTACCCTCACCTGACCCTGGAATGATCTATCACCCCACCGCACCTGGGGTGGGGGTTGGGGGGAACACCAGGAGGCTCAAGCTCACCTCTCTCTTAATAGTGAACTGTGTTTAATTATACAGACTTTGAAGGACCCCCTAGGCCACTTGCCCGGCATTATTAGTACCCCTGCTGCTGTACAAATTCTGACCTCAAACACAACCAGAATTTCCCCAGTAAGAACCTTAATGACCCAGCAAAGCCGTGAGCCCTGCAACTTCTAGGCGGACAACATCAGACTCTGCAAGGAGTAAGAGACCCGTGAGGCTTGGAGCACTTGCCAAATACTACAGAGGATGCAGCCTATTTGACAGATAAGGAAGTGGAGGTTGAGGGGAATTGGTTTACCTAAGGACCCGCCTTCTTCCACAATAAGTCAGAGGCAGAGCCAAAGTCAGAGGCAGAGCCAGATGCAGAGCTGGTGTGGATTCTTCCCACTGCAGACACATACAGTGAGCCCAAGACCCTGGATGACTCCAAGATACCTCTGAACCAAGTTGAACTGAGGGTTAGCCTACTGAGCATTTACATGTGTGGTTTCCCACACCAGGGCCTGCCTGAGTTTAGAGACAGTGAATTATCAGTAGAACAGTACGTAGAAAGACTAGATATGGGTTTAAGTCCTGGCTCTTAATAGTATGACCTTGGACAAGTCACTAGAGCTCTCTGAGTCAGTTTGCCAGAAGCAAAATTTGGTCAAAGGCTCAGTTGCCTCCCTCCTGGTTTGGTACCAACGTCAACAAGAGCAAGTGTGTGAAGATCTTTGTAAACTTATTCACTGTATACAAGGCCCATGTGAGAGATGAAATTATTCTGTGGGTCATTTTGCCCCTTAGTGATGAGGTAGGTGCTGCTCCAGGGCATAAAAGCAGTGCTGTGCCCAACGTGGATAGATCTGTCTCTGGCAGCCAAGTACAGGCGTGAACCTTGATCAGCCCCACTCTCTTCATCCCCAGCCCACGTTTGGAGTTTAGACTTTGATCAAAGTCTGGAGCAGCTCGCTAATTATTAGAGCTCTGGAAGCGTGATTGTGCCAGCAGGGTACAAGTGCCTTCAGCAGCTCATTTTTCTCTCCCCATCCTGCAGGCACTCCTGCTGTCTACACTGCACTGAGACCCAGGGAGCACCCACAGGATCATCCATCTAGCAGCTCAGTGCAAAGGTGTGAGCTCAGCCTGCTTCAGAGTCTCCCCACTATGGTGAGTCCCACGAGAGCCCCGGGAAGTGGAAGGACCCTGGGCTTGGTGCAGTGAGGGGGAGGGGGAGCCCTGGGCACACAGGATTCCTTACACTCTGACCAAGAGATACTGCTGTCTTTTGCGGTTCAGAGAGGTTAAGAGAGAGGATTCCTCTCTGGGCCTGATCCCTGCTTCCCTCTATTTCCCACCCAGGCCTGGGGCTGTAGCCTCTGAGTCTCTCCAGGGCCCATCTGCGCCCAGTCTGGGTCATGACTTGAGATTAGAACATTAACAGTTACCTACTCTGTAATATGCACTGTATCAGTCACAGAAGGGGCCATGGAGAAGGACCTTGTGTCTGTTCCCAAGGCAGGTGCATATGTAGGCCAGCTGGTTCCAGAGATGGGATCTATACTCTGGGAAGCTCAGCATTGCTGAGCATTGCTCCATGCCCACTCTAGAACTGATGCAAACTGAAACAGGCCTTGGACAGAACTAGGTTCAAATTTCAGCCTGCCAGCTTGTGACCTTTTACAGAAGACTCGATCTATCTGAGCTTCTTTCTCCTCATCCGCAATATGAGGCCGATGAGGGCCTGCCTCCAAGTGGCCATGAGGTGTTTATCAGATGAGTCCTGGGCCTTGCACAGTGCCTAGTCAACTATATCTTTCCTTTTCTACCCCATCAGACTACGGGAACCAGGGGTGGCACTGGTCCCAAGCCCTCCTCTGGCTCTGGTACAGGAATGGTTGTGAATTCCAGGCAGGACGGGCTGTCAGGGATGGTGAGGGAGCACCTTCTTGGAGGGTGGTGGCACTGGAGGCTGGGCTGCTTGTTGAGACCAACTTACAGCTCCATTGTATATTCCAGTCCCTGGTGGGTTCTGAGAGCTACAAGCCTGTTCGCTTCCTAGGGTAAGACCTGCCATTCAGCCTCCCTTCAGCCGCTGGGAGAAGCAGCATGATAAGGCCAAAATGGAGCCAGCTTTGGAGCCAGGCACACCTGGACACTAGCTGGCTGTGTGACCTCGGGGAAAGTCACTTAACTGTGCCTCAGTTTCCTCACCAAGCTAATAGGGTTGGTGGGAAGATTAACTGAGACATGCTCAAAAGCCTTTAGAAGCGGTCTGGCTCTTAGTCACTGCTCAGGGTTGGAGCCAATCTTAT